GAGGACACAGGTGGAACCTGACCTTTTCTCATCCTCTCTATTCTGTTGTTATCAAACTTTTCTTCTCAAGGGCTCGAGTCCTGCCCTTGCCTGAGAAGACGACCTCCTTTTTGGCCTCGCTGAGAAGAGTCTCGGCAACACTTGGGAGAACCTTTTGTCTTACACCTACACCCTTTCCCTCCCTCCCATCCTTTCACCCCATCCTGGCTGCTGAGCACCCTGCTCCATCCTCCTCATCCTTGTGACTCCATCCTCTCTGATATCAAACACCTGCAGGTGTCTTGAAAACACCTCCTTTGGGCCCTTTGCCCTACTTTGACCCATCTTGTGTCTCGCCTTCCTTCAAGTTCTAGATTTCTTGGGCACGTGCTCACTGTACCATGCCTCCACTCACTCCCTGCCCTGCCTCTTTAACCCTTGCCCAGGCTTCTGTTTTTGTCCCTATTCTGCCCCTAGACCGGTCATCATCAGTGGCCTCTTTATTGTGAGATCAAAGGGCCTCTTCTTTATTTCCATGCTTCTTGAACGCTCTGAAGACTGTTGACACTGTTAGTCACCTTTTTCTTCAGAGTCCTCCACTGGCTTCCTCACTTCTGTGTTGCCCTACTTCTCAGTTTTGTTGACCACTCTCAGGGAGTTGCCTTCTGCCATGTGAATAGCATTCCCAGCAGGTGAGTCAGGCTCTCCTGGTCCTCGGGCATCCTTCACCCTCCAAGCCCCTCGCAGTTTTCCTTGCATCAGCTGCCCCATGGTGTCTGGTCTGTAGGAGCATGCAGGAGCTACCTGACCAGTTTCCCCCCTAAGGTTAGAATTTTCTAAGAGAACTTTGCCAGAAGACTAAGGGAAGAATAATGATAAAAATAAAATATGAAAGGATTAAACAAGTTTTCGGAGCACAAATTCCAAGAATCTAATAAAACCCAAAGATTTGGACGTCTCTGGCAGAGCTCATTGGGCGCCCACTGAGGGAGGTCCCTGCCCTCCACACTGTCTCGGGGTCTCTGGTCTCCGCCTTTGCTCAGTCTTGAGCCCCTACTCGCTTTGTCAGATCCTGTGATCCTTTGTTGAAGCACAATCACGCGTCTGCCATCTTTACACACACACCAAGGGCAATGAGTCATTTCCTGTATCGCTCTTCATCTCTCTCGCTAGATTTTCCATGAAGCCTGTCTGTAAAGCCTCTGCTTTTTGTGCTGTCATCCCGTCTTCACCCGGGAGAGGCAGAGTTACCCTGCAGACCCTATGCCAACCACTTCTACTTCCGTGTCTCCAGCTTCCTCCTGGACATTGTCCCTCTGTCTGCCACCACTACTTTTAATCCAGTCAAAAAACCAGTCTTCATCTTTTCTTCCAGTCTCAAATTAGCACCCCTCTCCCAGTGTCTTTCTCTTTAAATGGCCCCATAACCTTCCCACTCACCAGGCTTAGAAATGTAAGACCTGTCTTTCATTCATACCTCTCTCCTTCATCCTCTGACTCTCGTCAGACACTGCGTTCTGCTTTATTTTGTCTTCAGAATGTATCTCCTTTTTGTCCTTCCTTTTTCCCATTCGCCCTCCTGTCCTCCAGCCGGGGCCTTCAACACTCACTCAGAGATGACCACACTCTCCCTTAGTCCCGGCCGGCTGGTAGAGGGCCCCTTCTTTCTTGAACCGCACTTTCAGCATATCTCTCCCCTCTCAAAGTGGCTTCGGGCGCTCTCTTTCCTTCCGCTCACGTGCACCACCAGTGTTTACTGAAGGTCTCCTATGTGCAAAGTGTGGCCATGGTCCAGATCCCTGTGCATAAACACCCAAATTCACTGCTTCCTAACCCGGCACCCCGTGTCAATCACACCAGGTCACACATATCCCACCACCGTGGGAATGTTATTCTGTTCTTGAAATGCACTCCCTTCTCCCTTCCTCTTCTCCAAAGCCAAGCCTCCTAACGCCTGCTCACATTCCACCCCTCCCAGGCGAGCCTTCCCTGGCTACATGTTTTAATATTAATATCCTTTTTCTATGAACCCCCTCTGTGCCTGTATAGCTCTCCATTTTTCCTGAATTTTCCCATCTCCACAAATAGATTTCAAGATAGAGGGCATGTTTTTCCTTCTACTGTATCCCACAGAACCTGTGGCCCAGAGTTGAGCACAAGATTGTCACTGAGTAAATAACCATTGATTGATCTAAAGGGAAACCAACATATCCTGAAAGCCAAGGGGGAAACCATGTAACTTTGGAAAGAAAGGTAGAACTGTCAGAAGAACATGAAAGCAGCCACATAAACTTTGAAACATAAGATCTTGTTAGTTCTGCAATGGTGTCAGAATCAAATTTTTCATTGAGATAAAAATAAAAGACAAATGCCATCTCATGGGGATAATCAGTGTCCCACATCCACGTGATAGACGACCCTGCTGCTACCATTTTAGATCAGTGATCTGACTTTGACCCATATTGCCAGTCTTTCAATAGATATTTAGTCCTCTGGTTAATTTTTTTACTCATTCATTCATGTATTTTCCAAAACAAAACAAAACCAAAACCATCAAGTGTAGTAGCAAGGCTCAGCAGCGAGCAGCGGGCTACAGCAGCCTGGCCACGGCAGGAGAATGTAATCCACTGTAAGCTCCGGGTCACCGTGATGACCGTTGTCAGGGCTGTGGTGCCCCTCAGCGATCCCAGGATCATTACTAACATAGAGCTAACAATGCGGCACATATTATATGTGTCTTAGGGACACGATTCAAGAGATCTATGGAGTAGAAACCATAATGAAAGAACAATGAAAAAGGAATCAGCATACTTCTCCAAAAACTGGAACTTTGCAAAATGAAAGTCATGGTCATTAATTTTTTATGATGATAAATGTGATTAGTAGTTATGGGAAATGCAAAGAAATATGGAAAGAAAAGAAAATCACCCAGTTCTTAGAAACATGACGGTTAACATTTCAATATCATTCTTGCTCTTCCTTTTTCTGTTTGTATATATGAGTGTGTGTAAAACAGCTGGTATCAGATTACAGTTTTGTATTAGGCTTTTGTCATTTATCATTACAGCATGAATATTTCTTCATGTCATTAATGTTCATAAAAATTATATTTAATGAATACCTTATATCTTAGTAGATATGAATGAACCACAGCTTTTAATTTATGCCTTTATGCTATATAAAGAATTTAAGATAACATATCAATTAGGAATTCTTTTGTCTGCAGGCCACAGAAAACCTCATTTGAGCAGGTAGGGTTTTTCCCCTCTTGTAAGTCTGGAGGAGGCTGCTGGGGTGGATTCAGCAGGTCCGCATTGTCACAGCAGGTGCCTTGGGACTTTCTGGACCATTCCCTCGTGGTTATTGACACCTTCTTGCAAGGTGGCTGCCCAGCTCCAGGCATCACATCTGTGCTTAATATGGAAAGAAGGAGGAAGGGACAGTACAAGTAGCATCTACCCTTTTATTTGGAAATGAAAAGCTTTCCCAGAAGTTCCCCAACAGACTCCTTACACCTCATCAGAGAGAACTGCCTTTTAAAGACACCTCCGGCCACAAAGGGCAATGAGAGAGCAAGAATTTCCCTTCCGACTTTTTAGAGGCCGACAAGGGAAAGGAGGACTTGGAGTAGGGCTGGGTTGGCCAAAACATGGTGTCAGCCATGGACAGCCAGCCACTATCATTTATTTAACATCCATCCTTTAGTGGACGCTTCTGTTTCCAGTTATTCTTTCTTATAAGTAATATTACAGTAAACATCCATGTATATCAATTTATCAGAATCTCTGATTATTTCCTTAGTATGATGTCCTAGAAGTAGAATTATAGGTCAAAGGTCTCATTACTTTTACATGTCTTCATACATATTGCTAAACTCCTTTCCAGAAAAATCTTACCAGTGTGCACTACCACCCAGTGCCTGAGAGATGGGCACTCCCATTTAGGACACACTCAGTCATCCCATCTTTAGGACTTACTGAGCCTTGGCAACTGCCAGAGTACTAGCGAAGTGTGCAGGCGGTGACCCGTTATGATTCTGTAGGTTGCACTCAGCGGTCATGGTACAATTTTAAGGGCACATATTTGAAAGTGTTCTACAGCACCTGGACTTAAAGGACCCCGGAGAGGCAGAGCCTGCAAAGAAGATGCCACGGTCAGCTGCCCTACCCTCCTCCACCTGCTTTACTAAATGCGTGAATACTTGTCTAGCTCCGTGTTTCTCATCATGTGCACAGTGCACATTTGGGGAGACAGTTCTGCACTCTAGGGAACACCCCCAACATTGCAGAACATTTTGCCTCCCTGGACCCACAGGGAAAGGCCAGCAACACTCTGCAGTCTCTGTGACAGGCAGAAATGTCGCCTTCCTCATGGTGCTATGTGCCACCAGCCTTGTGTGCAGAGCCTCCCAGGTCTCAGCACATTGCACTGACTGCTTTTTAGCAAACACATTACACACGACAAGGCAGAACTGCCTGAGCTTCCGGGAATGTGACAGGAAGAATTCTTAAAGTCCCCATACTGATCTTTCCTTGGAGACCTCCAGAAATGCACATTGCCCAGCTGTTCTGCCTACAGACGTCAAGAAGGAAGGGCTGTCCGGGCAAGCCCCAACCTCAGAACTAGAATTAAAGAGAAAGTCCACAAGCGGTCAAGGTGGTTCAAAGTGGTTTTCTATAGAGACCCAGGGGACTGCACTTGTCCCAGGACAGCAAGAAGAGGGGTGCCATCTGAAGCTTAGCACGTAGGGGTGTGGGAGGACGGAGAGAAATCTCTTAGAACATAATGGAAAGAAACAGCCGTTAAACCAGGGCCACAACAAGGAAGAAGAGAGAACGCAGGGCACCCGTGTTTGCCTGACTTGGCCACCCTTGAAGGGAGAGTGGAGGTAAGCGACAGGCCAGCAGTCCCTGGATGGGGCTGAGTTTTAAGCTGAAGAAACAGCATGTGCAAAAGCATAAAAGTAGCATTTCAGGGACCCCAGCAGTTTGGTCTGCCAGGAGTGCTGGACCAGGCTGATGGGTGGCACATACTGTGTGTGGCTTTTGTCCTGTGCCCCAGAGTCAGATCCCCAGCAGAGTAGAGGGAGTGGGTAGGGTGAAGGGCAGAGACATCAGTTAGGGGCCTTGTGACAGTCTGGGCTGGGGGCAAGTGCCCGTCTGAGCCCAGAGGGATGGCTGTGTGGATCCACATAAGAGTCAGAATTGATATCTTGGAGAATGTGACCTAGATTGGTTCCCTGACATCTGACATCTTTCGCGGGAGAGTGGGTTGTTTCATGTTCCATAATTAAGTTTCTGCCAAAGGTACGTAAATATTAAAATTTCCCTGAAGATCTCAAATGACCAAAATAAAGAGTTGAAAGTTTATTCTAAGAGAGGGTTAACGTTTGTCTATTTCTTTAGATCATAGTGAGTAAAGTTTTGTTTTGTTTATTTGCCTTCGAACCAAGTCATAAAAATTAATAGTTTTAAACATTTTAAAATTCAAAATAAGAAGAGTTTTCTTTAGTTCCACTGGAGAATTGTATACATACTTACCGCTTGGACCACTTTCCTCAATGCACAGAATGGCAGTGAGACCAGCAGAGCATCTTTTGGTTCCAGGTCGAAGTATCTGGCCTGTCTGAGCCACCGCGACATGAAGGACGCCCTCTAATTGTGCCTTGCGTCTGAGGTGCACTGCCACCTTCGCAGAGAGGGCCCCCAGGTCTTACCTCCCCCATCTGAGAAGCAGTTCACTGCATGTGACCATCGACCCGTCTCACAGATGGAGACACAAGCTCCTGCCTGGGGACATGCAGCAAGTTAACCATTTATGCAACACTTGCAAAGTGAAAAAGAAAGCAAATAATAGAAGAGGTAGTAGGTTAACATGGCAGAAGTTATGACGGTGGGATGGGAATGACGGCAGCTTGGGAGGAAGTTGCTCTAATCCCACAGGGACAGAAAGGTGGAGATTAGAATCGGCCCAGCGTTCCTGCAGAGACTGGCCCTCGAGAGGGCAGGACGGGCAGCTTGGAGGCCAGCGGAGAGTTACGTTGCCCTGAGGCTCCTCACTTCTCTTTGTGGCTCTAGTTTTCTCACCTCTGAAGTGAGAGCTGAGTAACTGTGGTTATCTCATTTATCCCAGCACCTGCATGGCGTACGGAAGCTCTGTACTCTACTGGTGCTGTAGACGGTTGCTTAATCCCGCGTGGCGGAATACTGGGGAGATATGTACAGACACCCACATCCATGTGCGTGCACGCACACACACATTCCTGTGACAGTTCTTCAGCGCCTCCCTCGTTTGGAAGTGGGAGTGCAGCTGCCCCGTGAAATGGTATTCCTGCGCCTGGCGGTGACAGTGGCCTGTCCCAGTGGGTTGGACTCAACAGCCTCCCTGTTGTAGCCTGCCATTAACAAGCAATGTTCCCTTACAGGTTAGCAATCCGAAGCAATGGGCGACTGGAGCTTTCTGGGGAAACTGTTAGAGAATGCGCAAGAGCACTCCACGGTCATCGGCAAGGTTTGGCTGACAGTGCTGTTCATCTTCAGAATCCTGGTGCTGGGAGCCGCGGCGGAGGAGGTGTGGGGAGACGAGCAGTCAGACTTCACCTGTAACACACAGCAGCCAGGCTGCGAGAACGTCTGCTACGACAGAGCCTTTCCCATCTCCCACGTCCGCTTCTGGGTGCTGCAGATCATCTTCGTGTCCACACCCACCCTCATCTACCTGGGGCACGTGCTGCACCTTGTGCGCATGGAAGAGAAGAAGAAGGAGAGGGAGGAAGAGCCACTGAAGGGAGACAACCTGCACCACGAGCCGGCTGGGCCGTGTGGGCTGAGCAGCGACAGCCAGGATACGCCCCCGGTGCGGGATGACCGGGGCAAGGTCAGAATCGCTGGGGCCCTGCTTCGGACCTATGTCTTCAACATCATCTTTAAGACGCTGTTTGAAGTGGGCTTCATCGCCGGACAGTACTTTCTGTATGGCTTTCAGCTGAAGCCACTCTACCGCTGTGACCGGTGGCCTTGCCCCAACACGGTGGACTGCTTTATCTCCAGGCCCACGGAGAAGACCATATTCATCATCTTCATGCTGGCAGTCGCCTGCTTGTCACTCTTACTCAACATGCTGGAGATCTACCACCTGGGCTGGAAGAAGTTTAAACAGGGAATGACCAACCACTATAGCCCAGACACCCCTGGAACCGGGATGGGGGCCACAAAGCCGGAGGGTGTGACCCCACTCCACGTCCCCTCCAACTCTGCCCCTGCCACCATTACCATTGGATTCCCGCCTTACTACACTCACTCTGCCTCTTCCCTGGGACAGGCGATGGCCACGGGCTATCCCGGGGCCCCTCCACCACCAACAGACTTCAAAATGGTAGCCCTGTCTGAGGCACACAGGAATGGCCACCCTGCCAATTTCTGCAATGGCAACCACCACCTGCTAATGACAGAGCAGAACTGGGCCAACCAGGAGGCCGAGCAGCAGAGGTCTGTGAGGAAGGCCTCCCTGCCGGCGTCCACTTCTGCATCTCTGACCCCTCCAGGCAGCCCCCAGCAGCTCCCTCAGTTGGGTGGAGCAGGAAGCAAAGCGCCTGCCCTGTTGGCGAATGGCAATGGCAGCCCCTTGGGAGAGAGTAAATTGGAAGTGACTCCTGATGAGGAGGAGTGGGCAGTGACCACCGCGGTGGAGATGCACGCACCTCCTTTGCCCCCTACAGATCCTGGACGGTCAAGCAAGGCCAGTAAATCCAGCGGCAGTCGGGCCAGGCCAGATGACTTGGCCATCTAGTGGTGGTCTCTCCAGACAGCTTTATAATAACCTTTTTTCTAGCAACCAAAACCAAGGTGTGGTTCACATCAGCAGGTGGAGAGAGCCTGGAAGTGAGCGAGCTGGAGTCGGAGGGAGGGAGGAGGCCGGGCGAAGAGAGAAGGTTTCTGTGTGTCAGTGCTTGCTGTTCCTAACACTGTGGAGTGGAGTGGGGAGAATATCAGTGCTTTCTGAGAGGGGGCGGTGGGGCAAAGCAGGGTGCAGGTGCTGTTGGCTTTTAAAGATATTCACAGCAACCCAAGAGCCCAGAAACCTGGGTTGCCTTGGCAGGTGCTGCTATGGGCCTTGACTGCTGCTGCCTCTGTGGTCGCTGTTGCGTGTGGGAGAGCAGTCGCTGCATCTCGGGGCAGTTAGGTTTCTATTCCCAAGCCCTGCAGAGCTCCGGGCGGCCCCGAAAACGGGGGCGCACTCAGCCCTATCTCTCTGTTTGATACTTTTTACTTTGAGTTGAATTTCATTTGGGATATTTGCCAAACTGCACTAAAAAAAGATTTAGAGCAAGTCTATCTAGTGTCGTTTGAGTTTCTGAAATGGCACGCGAAGCCCAGGATATCAGACCGCAGGCTTCATGACAAGTGACAATGCGCAGCTACCCTCCGGAGGCAGAGATTCAGCGGGCAAGGGCACAGGGGTTGCTGGGAAGGAAGCAGGTGGAAATGCAGCAACACGAGATAATTTTTAAATAGCTGAGGAAATTGAAATAAAAGTATGGCAGGTATGCCTCAGGTATTTGTTTTTAAATGATAGTTTGTGCTTTGATCTGAATTGTACAGGTATTCCTATTTTTTGACCACTTTCTATCTTTCAGGAAAAATGAAAGAAAAACAGTACTGTTAAAATGCATACTGACAAAGAGAGGGCTAATTTGTCCCATTACATAGTAGTAAAGATTTCAACTTTCTTTTCAAAGAAATTCTTCAAGCTCATGCATCAGCTAATTACTGTGAGAATGCATTATATAAAATAAGAGCAGGGAAAAAATTTAAGTGCACTTCAAATACTTGACGTTGTGAAGTTTTGAATGGGAGGTAAAAAGGTAACTAGTGTTGCCAGAAAAATTATTTATACTGATGAGTCAATGGCCTACATTTTTTTTTAACAGTACAAACAGAACTCCTCAAGCTCCCAAACCATTCTTTGTAGGCAGCTGTTTGCTCTCTCTCGAGTGTAAATGAAAGTGTCTGGATTTTCCTCCCGTGAGTGTCTGTGCTGGTGTCAGACGCCGCCCCGTCTGTCTCGGCACGGATCGCTGTGGGGGATGTATGTGCGTGGGTGTGGCTGGAAGACGGCAGCATTTCCTGTGTGGCACACTCTGCTGTGTCTCCATCACTTTTTGTTTATAGGCCATGAGCAGTGGTAATGCTGAGCCTGCCATTGTCACACTTTTCACCTCCAACGTCTACTTAATAGCGTCAGCCTTTATTCAGCAAAACACTGTGCACTTTCCAATTGGATTCATTTCTTTTTATGAATTTGATTATTTATTTGGGGCCACACTCCACAGCATACTTTGTATTTTATATTGTAAAGAGTGACCCACAAACAATCTGTTAAAAAGACCTCGCAGTAACGTGTGCAGCTGATTCATCAGTGCCTTATGCTCGATGGAGAACGGACTGGACCATCTCCTCGAGGTAAAGCATGCTAACGTCCCAAACATGTCTTTGCAGCCTTTCTCAAACAGATTGACAGAGGGAGAATTGAGCCCTATGGAAAATTATTGGAGTGACGATTTTCTTGATTCTCCCTAGGCTAGTGCCTAACTATGCCACTCTGAATGCACAGGAGAGAAGTTAATTCATCACATACAGTGGATGCCTTTGTCTTCGGGCGGCAGGGTTTGTTCTCCTGGGTGAGAAGGGCCACTAGAAAGTCCTGATGTGAAAAGCATTCTGATAGAAAAGCTTTGGTCCTTTTAGAAAATGCAGGTGCCGCTGTCAGACAGCAAAGGTACATACAACTCACTGAGTGGGTGTGAATCCTTAGTTCTTTAGGTTCTATCATGATAAATGTTAGTAACGGTAATAAGCTTCTTGTTTACTCATGATTTAATTTTGAGTGGGGTTTGAGATGAGAGTGAGAACTGTAATTATATTTAGTTTTTACATTTTAAAATTGGATTTTATTCACCATATGTTCATGAAGATGCCAGTATTATGCAATTGACCGTAGTCTGTTGGCCCATTTAGTGCCTGGGTACAAGTGTAAAATTAGATCCCCCTACTTGAAAACCATTAATTTATAAAGAAGTAACATTTTCCATACAACAGCGCCTATAGTTTTTTTTCAGGTTGGTGCTCTGAGTTCAACTCCTGTAAAACCTGAAAGCATGTCTCACATTATGTTGCAATTTGAGGTACTCACGGCCCTGAAGGCCGGCGCCCTGCCCCCTCATGGGCATGTGGGCAGTGTGGAAGGTTGCTCTCTATTTAACCAATCATTTTAAGCGTTAAAATGTGCAATAAAAATAGAAATTGCCTCTTCCTGTGGACAAGATTCCAGATATATTTTTTCTAGCCTGTTAATTATTTGGAAATTCCACTGAAACTATTTCTCTCTCAATTTAATAGAAAATTTTTTCAAATCTCTAAGCTTATTTTGAAACTCTAATGCTATGCCTATTATTTTTACACACCTTATATTTTAATCTGCAGTATACTAGACAATTATTTTCTTCCATCCCTGGTTGTAGAAGCCTAGTCACCCAGCCAACACTGCACGATCCATAAATAGTTATAAAACGTCAGCATCGTGCACACCCAGTGCCCAAATCCATTTTAAAAAGCTCTAAAACATTTCTTATAGAATCCCTCACTTTCTACTTTTTAAACTTTATTTTGCTGTGATTCTTTTTTTCCCCAAGAAATTGACAAAAATGATACTTTAAGTTTAAAAAGAAAAAAGAGAAAGGGCAAAAGAGCAAGGTAGAATATTTGTGATGTGTCCTGGCTTTCTTTGATCTTTAGGTAGGCGGCTAGATCAGAGGTTTCTTATACAAAAATGCCTAGAGAAGAACTATGGAGACAATTTAGACATCCTTTTAGAAAATCAACCTAATGAGATTTAGGTCTCTTTTCAGTTTAGGCTTTTTTTTTTTTTTTCCTGTTAACACTTTCCTTAATTCTTTACTGAATAAAGTTCTTTTTTCTGAAATTTTTCTTTTAAACTTTTTCTTCTGATATTTGTAACATTCATTTATGGATCTCCACCAAAATAAATTCTTATAGAGTATTGCAAGCTTTCAAAAGGTAAATGTTTTTGACAAAGGTCAGTAGATTCCTGCCACCACCCCCCGTCCCCCCCCTCCCCCGGGAGTTCAGGACATTCTAAATAACTTTTAAATACGACATGTAGACATTAAAGTCAAAAAATGTATTTCTCTTCCTACTTTTGTATTACACTGCAAAGCTTAGGTTTACTCACTCTAAGATTTTTTATTGCCCAAAGGATTTGGGTCATAACGAGACTTTTTACGGTCAGTAGGAATTTAAATAACACTAAAGGCAGTGCAGTGTTTCTAGCACTATATTTGAAGATGTTTGGTATGTCAGTGTTAACTTTGATCATAATCTTTACAAAACTCTGGCTAAAACTTTGTTTTTGTGCTATAACACTATCTTTCCTAGACTAAATTATAACTGAAAATAAGTATTTTATAAGATAAGTAATAAAAAGTGGCCTTAAATTTAAATCACTAGTTCTGTAGTTGGTTATTTTTATTGATAGAATCCTTGAGCAGGTTTTCAAAAGAAGAGTTTTCATTGTTTTAGATATAATAAGCAAAAACTTCTTTCCTGGAAGAGAAGCTTGCGAGATTTCTGCAGTGGCTGTTGGGTCTTTTCACAGGTACTTACCAACTTAAAAGTGTCTTCCAGCGCCTTCTAGCATAGCCACATCTGGCTACATGTTCTCCTGAAGAGATCACATTGTCAGTGTTCACTTGCTTGTCCTGAGTCCTCCTTCATCCACGATACTGCCAAACTCTAAACTGAACTAAAACACACACAGAGAAGGAGTCCGCGACTGCGTGCCCAGCTGGAGGAATTTGAACACACCTAGGCAGGCAAGACCCAGGGCAAGAAACAGGATATTTCTTCATCCGAAGGACTCCCTCTCTTTTTTCTTTTTTATGTCACGACTGCCCACGGTTTTTTCTTGCTGTCAATATTACTCTAAAATTATTCCTTATGGAAATAGAGGAGACCTGTGGGAGGCAGAAGGGAGGAAAATGTAGAAGGAAGCTGGTCACTAAGGTCCGACGAATACAGCTGTCTGCGTCCTGGCACACTTGGTTAAAAGCCATCCAATTGAGTGCTAGTCCTAAAAAGAAGTCAACTTGGCAAGCTCTGAATATACCCCAGAAAACTACTATTGTCCCTGATCTGGAATCTTCTTTGAGCCATTTTATAAGTTTTCATTACCTTCTTAGTGGGAAAAACAGAACAGTTTAGTCTTTTAAATGGTTTATGGTTTTTATTGAATAAGTTCTCAATAAATATGTGCTGAATATTGAATGAATGAATATGAGCCTACCTCATTAAACTGTGGGAGCCAAACACCTCCAGGCCATTGGGTCAAAACTGGCAACCTCTGCAAGAACCTCTAAGGTTCTAATAGGTCTAACAATTCACTCCAGTAATAGGCAACAGGCACCAATGGGCTTACCCTTCCCGGAAAGGCTGGTTGTTGTTTATCTGTCCGTGTGCAGTATTCATGTGTATGAGATGCACACAAAAATGGATCTGGGCATGTCCTGCTTCCCTACAGAATTGCAGGTCATGTCGTCCATAATATGGGTGGGGGCACCCTCCTCCCCCACCTGATTATGACAGACAGCCTCAGAGGGCTTCCAAGGGCTAGAGGTTCCAAATTGGAACTAGAGACTATTATGGGTCAAAGGAAGTGCCCTTCCTTCTAAATTCCCCTGAAAGTTTAAAGCAAAAAAAAAAAAAAAGACAAAACAGAAAAAAATAACCAGTCCTTCTCTGGCATGATCTCAGAGGAAATGTATACATTTCTACAGTAAGCCTTAAGGAAACTCTTAATCCCTCCCACAGCCCATGTGGATAGGAGGAGTCAGGCAGCCCGGGCAAAGTAGACAGGGTACAAATGCCACGAAGAGGGAAGCATGAGGGCACAGCTCCCGTGGAGCCCTCCGGCTCCCGGCCGTGGTGTCTGGCCATCCCTAACTTGCAGTGTGTGCGGATTAAATAAACACACACACTGGGCGGTCCTGTTTCAGAATAAAGCAGAATGGTCTCAAAAGCATCCCTGAGCTAAGAATTTTCATTTCCAAAGTCCTCAAAAGTCATTCAGAAAGCACATCCTCACCTACATTTTAGCCTTTATCGAGTGTGAGTTTGCGAGTGTGTGTGAGTGAATGTGTGTGTGAGCCTGTGTTTCTCCTCATTGTACTCTCATGTTTCTTCTTAAAGTACTTAGCGCCCAACCCAGACAAAACAAGAGGCAGATGCAAAACCAAATATGCTTTCCTGCCATTTGCAGCAAGGACAGCTGCTGGCTGGGGCTACGGCAGTCGGCAGCGCTGGCCGAGTTCCTGTCGTTCTCTCCCAAAGGTGCTATGAAAACAGACCTTAGCTCTCCCAGGCTGTCTGTCAGGTGGGGGGGCAGGTGCGATTAGGGTGTTGCGCCACGTCCCTGGAACAGAACCTGCAGAGAAAAGGCAGCATGGGATGGAAAGGAAGAATTTTTTTTTCTTTTCTTAAAAAGATCCACCTCTAATATAGATCCAAGCACGAGTTTGAAGGTTTTTCTTACAATATTCAATATTCACTCGAGGGTTTACTTTCAGAGCTGCCCTGGTTCTCAGTGTGATGATGTTGTCATGAGGCGGCCCCTTCACCCCCCACCCCGCCCCCCACGGCAGAGCTGGTGCTCTGAGGAACCCACCACCTGTACTCAGTTGTTACTAAGTGTGTGAGAATGTCCAGTACTATAGAAACTAAAGATGTGAGAGTGGTCTATGCGTGTTTTGGGTTTGGGTTTTTTTTTTTTTTTAATGAGCAAGAGAAACTTTAATGTACAAAAAGAACTTTACAGCTACTTAAATTTCAAATTAATATTTCATTATTGAAGTTCAAATTCAAAAACCTTGCTTTCCTTTAGCTTTTATGTTCGTTGTACAAATGTTGCTATACTATGTATAAATCTAGTAAACTTTATATGAAATAAGAATAATCACCTTCAATTAGTTGAAGCAATTAAACTCTTAAAAATCAGTCCATTTAAATTCTCCTTAACATTTTGAACTGCATTTGTAAGTTTAATTTATTCATTTTTCTTCTTAAATATTTCAGATGCCTGAATGGCATAACCCACACCCTTAGCTCACAAAACTTCATAACAACCTTAAATAACTCTTTAAAAATCTAATAAATCAAAATTATAAATATAGGAACTTTCGAATTCTTGCATGCATTCCATATTATTTACAGACTTAGTCAGATGCTCCTTAGCTTTATAACTTATAAATGCCAAGTCTAAAATTAATTATAGATTTGACATAGAAGTTACAAACCTATTTTGCCAGAGTCCCCAACAGGCCAGTTCCTCTTCAAGATTACAGATACAGCAAATGTCCAGCACGCCGAGATGTCACACGGACAGAGGCCGGGCGCTGGCTGCCTGGGTTCAGGGTTAACGAAGGATCGATTGCAAAAGGCCTGAGGAGTGTTGTTGGTGAGCTAGAAACGTTCCACACCTTCACTGTAGGGGGTCACAAGTGCGTACATTTTTCAAAATTCACTAAACTAAACCTTAAAATAGATTTATTTTATTTCATATTACTTATATGACAACAAAGTCACTTTAAAATGAAATATGTGTATATGTAGGTGTGTCTATTATTTATACACACATACACACCTACATGTATTCTCAATGAATACAAAACATAAACTGAACACAAAAGGACTAAATCTTCAGCTGGACTTGCTTTCTCATTTCTATGTTCAATTATAAACAGCTTTTTATGGTTGAGCTAAGGTCTGAGAGATGGGGTGTGAGGGAACACAAGCCAAGGAAGCTGTTGGGGCCTACTGTGGTTCTCCATCAAGGGCTGAAAAGGCGGGAGTAACAGGTGAGGTTGCACTGGAATTCCAGCCGCTGGGACAAGCTGTCGCAGGACACGCACGGGCCCGGGAGACTGAGACTCCAGCGCACCAGCACGTCTGGGGTGATCACTGAACTGATGACAGGCAGAGGGGTGTATGAGTCTCCTGGGGCTGCTGTAACAAGTTGCCACATACTTAATGGCTTAAAACAAAGCAGATTTATTCTCAGTGGAGGCCAGAGGTCCGAGATCAGTTCCACTGGGCTGAAGTCAAGCTGTTGGCAAGGCTAGATCCTTCCAGAGGCTCCAGGGGAGAACCCACTCTCATCTCTTCCACTTCCAGAGGCTGTGATATTTCCCGGCTCCCGGCTGCGTCACTCCAATCTGTTTCTGCTTCTGTGGCCACATCACCTTCACCTCTGCAATTGTCAAATCTCCCTCTGTCCCCTCTGATGAGGATACTGGTGATTACGTTTAGAACACACCCAGTTCATCCAGGACTCTCTCCCCGTTTCAAGATCGTTAACTTAGTCACATCTGCAAAGTTCTTTTTGCCATATATGATAACATTCTCAAAGTCTAGGGATTAAAATGTGAATATCACGGGGGGCCCACCACGGAGGAGTTGATATTTTGGACTGGATAGGCACTTTTCACGACCTGCCCTAAAGGCTGTGTGCTTGGCCCTCTCCTTCCTCAACACTGGTATCCATGATATGGATGAAGATCCAGAAAACTTTATTAACTAGCAGATAGCAGGATGGAAGGGGCTTGGTGAATGGGACACTCAGAGTCACAAAATATCTTGCCATTCTGGACTCTGGGGCTAAATCCAACCAAGCAAATCTACATCAAGATCCAGATAAGAATTTGCACTTAGGTCCAAAAATCCAGCTGCGTCAGCGCAGCCTGTCCCGGTGGGAGCCCATGTGAGCAAGCGTCATGGCGCTCACACGGACGGCAGTGTGGCTCAGCTGGCAAGACCAGTGGCAGTCCTCGGCCGACTGTGGAGCAAAGGGCCTCCCACTTCTGCTCTGCCCTGCTCAGAGCCCGCTAGATGGTGGTGAGGATAAGGGGCTACATTTTGTGAGAGTGATTAAAATGCTAGAGATACCCTAGAAGAGGCCTGGAAACCAAGAGGACACTGTTGAAGGAGCTGAACCATTAGGCTGAAGAGGAGAAAAATGATCGCCCTCCTGTGTAATGTCAGTTTTGAAGGACTGGCATGGAGGATTACACTCAGCTGTTTGAACCCCAAATGGGTGAAAACTTCAGGGAGTTGGAAAGAAAGGTCTTTGTATCAGTAAGAGCCGTCCAAAGAGACAGGGGCCTCGCCCAGGTCGGAAAGTTCTCTGTCACCTGCTGGTTGGGAGCTGCGCCCTGGCCTGCTGTGCACACTCTACTCACGACATCCCTTCCCCATGGACATTGCCCTGCTCGGCCTCCAAGCCTGAGGACAGGCAAGCAGGCCCCGCTGCCTGCTCAGGGGCACCTTCTGAGGGAAAGAGCCCCACCTTGGCCCCAGAGGACACCTGACTCAGCCTCCAGACATGCTCGTTAGCTGATTCATAGAGCCCCACCGAAACGTGGAGCTCTATCCTGATTTTCACCTGGGAGAAGTCCAATCAAGACTTGACCTAAAGACTTGCTTTATGTCACATCAGCATGTGGGAAATATGAGAAATAGCTTCAAACAGTGTTATTAGTTAAAATATAGTTAATAAGTGGCACACACCAGATTGAGGTCCAGATTCTGTGATGCAAACCCTGGGCCCTTTCACTATACATGGCTGACCTACGGAACCTGACGGTTCTGTGGGGGCTGCAGAAGCAGCTTTTGCCATAACGAAAGGCAGTTTTCAGGGGGGAGAGGTCGAGGAGGGAGGTTGGGAGAAACTAGGAAGGGAGCGGGGCATCAAGGCCAGTCAGCACCCCTAACTCTCCTAAGGGACAGACACTGAATCAGATCACCAGAAGCCGGAGCAGGAGCATGGCTGGACCCTACTGTGGTGGGGACCTTCTGAAAATACTCTGCACATTGAAAATAACCACAGCCAGGAATCCAGGACCACTGGATGGGGATCATAGTCCAAAGGGATGACCCTGAGCAGGGCTGCTACCCATGTTTGTGTGAGCCGAGCCCTTCCTAATGCTAGAGGTTCCATTCCACAGTCTAGCAGTCCTCCAACTTAGCTTGCACAAGAATCACCTGGAGGTCTTCTGAAAAACAGATTCTTGGGTCCTACCCCTGGAGCTTCTGCTTCAGTGGGTCATAGTAGAGCCCAGGAATATGCATTTCTAATAAGCTCACCAGTAATAGAGATGCTGCTGGTACAAGGATCACATGACTAAGGACTTCAGGGATCACTGCCACTCCAGAGATGCACAGTGAACAACCTACACAACCATACGCGGCAGCCCTCACCATTACAAAAGCACCCTTTAAAAATAACTTCCAGGCCTGCATGTGAGAGAATAAACCAGACTAAATAAATGACAGCTGATAATGTCCCTTATCTACAAGATGAAGACAGGCATAGATGGATGTGCAACCTAGATAATCCCAAATGTTACTTGACCACTTCTTTTTTAGGTTATTGGTCCTCTGACATTTTTGACAAGATGACTGCAGAGCTGACATCGGTCCTTCTCAGTGCATCGCATCCAGAGGCGCACGCTGTCCATCTGATTAGTGCTGTGGAGTGGTCTCTGATCACCTGCTGCAGGGAGCGTCTGCCTGGTTTCCCGTTGTAAAATTGACAAAGAACTTGAGGAGATTCTTTGAGACTATGCAAGTTTTGCTCTCCCGAAAATCTCACCTCTGATTTTAGCATCCATTAGCGGATCTTGTCCACAACGGTCGTTCGTGGGGTGTTTACCTGCTGCTGATTTTCTATTACCCTCTTTCCTTCCACTTTTAATAGTTGGATCGTTCCTTTTTAGCTGTCATAGCCTTCTTGGCTCACTGTGGACTTGTAGACAACAAAATTCCAAGTCTTTCACTGGTAAAATATGTAACATTTACCATTATAGTACATTATAATATATAACATTTACAGCTTACAAAGTACTTTCATTCTATTATCTCATTCGATTTACTCGCATGAACAGCTGCGCAGAAAGGCCTCTGCATTCCTGGGCCCCAGCAACAGCCTTTTGTCACCCAGCCTAAATGGAAAATCCAACATTATCCTTGCTAAGTCATCTTATTAATTGGGTAGCCACGCCCTCCAGCTATCTGAGATAGAAAGTAGAGCCCATCATTTACGGTATTAACTTATTGCCACCAAATTTACTTAAACAGACTTTCTCAGTCATCACTCAAGTCGCTGGTAAAAATATTGAGCATAACAGAGGTAAGAAGCTGTAAGTTGTCATTTTCAGTCACACCTTTACTATTAGTTGGACTATCCAAAGATACAAAGAAAACGAGTGGTTTTCTCAGTTAATGAATTCTCTTATATGTATTGTTTCTTAGTGAACTTTAAGAATTCTGAAGTTTATATTTAGCCAGACCATATGCTCTGCAACTGCTGGTAATTTCCTAACTGTGGAAGAAGTGTGTGTCTTCAGTCACTTCCCTGGGCACCTGCAATAGCCACCATGTGAGAAATAAAACAAAACCTCTTTGGAACCATGTGCGCAGCACTAACCTTGGGATAGAAACAGGTGTAAAGACAGTCTGCGTTATCTTATCACTTCAGAATAACAGTAGCCTCCTAGGAGCCTCGC